CTGACACTGTACACACTGGGATCCGCTGTGTGCACTCCCACAGCGCTGACGTTGTACACACTGGGATCCACTGTGTGCACTCCCACAGCGCTGACGTTGTACACACTGGGGTCCGCTGTGTGCACTCCCACAGCACTGATGTTGCAGAGACACACCTACCCACTTGATTTTTATGAGGCAATTAACGAGGTGAACTCGGCTCCTCGAGTTTTCTTTTCAACCCATGACTAGTATTAATTCTATGGAGACTGACAAACTTCTCACTATGTATTAATTTCACCTAAACACATGATCTTAAAGGTATGTGTGGTACCTACTGGTTTCTATTGCACAAGTTGCCAAGAATAAGCAAAGAACCACCCAGAAGTAAAAGGGTAGGTGAATAAAAAGCATAAGAACAAAATAATGACCTGGGACATGTTCAGATGCTTAGCACCGGAAGTGCTGCTTACTCCTTCCTCATTTTCTGAAGTAACCATGCTAGTGTGTTTATTTAGATTAGCAGACCTATGGTATAACACTCGCACCCATTCACATCTAAGTAAATAACAGGACCATTCTGTCATAATCTAGGAGTTTGTGCGGCTTCCTTGGCTCTTTTGTTTTGTTTTGTTTTTGCAACTTGTCACAATGTAAAACACCAAAGGCTTCGTTACAAAAATCCTTAAAGGCAACTTTTTTTCAGGGCTGACAAGTGCTAGATCACCGAGGGAGCAGTTGTTGTTTTTTATTTATCAATAGGTTTGGAGCCAGGGCCAAGATCCAGATTAAGCCTCCAAATATGAATATTTGACTTTGGTATGGTTCCATTTTAAAACAAACAAACAAAATTTAAAGCAAATTCTTTATTTTAAAGCTCTTTTTATCTTGATTTATATGTATCTGTGTGTGTGTGTGTGTGTGTGTGTGTGTGTGCTCACATGTGTGTGTAGGTCCCAGTGGAGGCCAGACAAAGGCGCGAATCCCCTGGAGCTGAACTTGCAGGGGGTCAGGAGCCTCCCAGGATGGGTCTTCTGCAAAAGCAGCGTGTGCCCAACCATCTCTCCAGCCCCTTAGTTCCACTTCTAAAGTTCCACCCTATGAAATTACCAAGTTCAAGAGGACATAGAAACAGCATCCCTTTATTAGAAAAGCTTGGTCCTCTTTTGGGGTTTTAAGTCAAGAAAGTCTCCTGGGGCAGAAGGTGGTGGTGCTGGCGGGTATACTGTAGCCCTCGGGAGGCAGCACGGACAGGGTGGGTGATGGACAGGGGTGGAAGCCGGTGAGGAAGGAAAGGAGGGAACTTGTGAGCAAAGTTAAATAATTAGCAAGTGGCTGATTTTTGCCACAGCTCATCAGTTACACAATTACCTTATGCAATCTTATTTTGTCATTTGGAAATGAAACACTGTACAGCCCACAGGCAATAAAAATGCAGGTATTTATCAAAAACCCAGGTATGACCCCTGAGGTAAGAAATAGTTATTTACTTCTTCAGAGCTGTGATCCATGAAGAAGAGTGTATCTCTTCGCATGGAGACCAAGGTTCCCTCCTTTCTTAGATAGGTACTCAGTATTAATAACGAATGGCAAACTGAAGAACAGGAAACAGTAAAGAAAGTTAAAGCTGCATGGAAAAGGGAGAAAAATGAGTTGGACATGGTGGCATGTGTCTACAATGCCAGCATTTGGGAAGTGGGCAGGAGGCTCAAGAGTTTGAGGTCAGCACTGGGAATATAAGCTGCAGCAGAATCTTAAGGTCTTATTAATAAACACAAACCCGAGCCAGGTACTGGGTGAATGCTGAAAGATCAGAGAGACTGAACCAGCCACAGCTAACCTCGCCTTGCCAATTCCTCAGCTGATCCTGTTTCCTCAGACTGGAAACCTCTGAGTCCTCATCTGAATGGATCTCAGCTGAACTGCTACTAAAAACTGAAAAGCTTAACTAACTTTAGTTCCTGGTTTTCACGCCTTATTTATCTTTCTGCTTCCTGCCATTACTTCCTGGGATTAAAGGCGTGAGTCACCATGCCTGGTTCTGTTTCCAGTGTGGCTTTGAACTCACAGAGATCTGGATGTATCTCTGCCTCCCAAGTGACAGGATTAAAGGTGTGTGTGTGCCACCATTTTCTGGCCTCTGTATCTAGTGGCTGTTCTGTTCTCTGACCCCAGATAAGTTTATTAGGGTGCACAATATATTGGGGGACACAATATATCACCACAATAGGGAGCTCAAAGTCAGTCTGGTCCACAGGACTTTGCTTCAAAGAAGCAAAAGAAAGGGCAAAACAAGTCCCTAAAAATACAAAAGTTTAGATCCTGTTTAAGGACACAGGCAAGAAATGAAAGATCAGCCTGCCCGTGCCTACAGAAGGGAAAGCAGCAGTAATCAAGACACCACCATCTAGATTTCTGTGAGGTCAAGAATGGAAACTTGATAGGTGGCATTTCTGTTCTCTTCCTATTCTCATTCCAGCAGAAGGGGGAGAGTGAGTCTTGCTACTACATGACAGAAGAGGACTTTTTAAAATGGTATGACCTTACATTTAGAAGGGGAAAATCACTAGAAACGTTTTAAACTGTGATAAGACAGTATCAGGAGCAGTTTAATCTCTACCAAGAAAATCAATGTTATAAAGCTTAGTAAAGGCCACTATTTTTTTCTGTAAGCAATGCTAAGCAGCTTTTGTTTTATAAGGATTTTTGCAACATGCAGAATCTAACTGTATTCTCCCACGCTATGACAATGAGTAATCTGCATAACAAACAACAACATATTCGCTTCTCCTGTATTTCATCTCAGGATCAGACACGGGTCTCCTGAGGTAGAAACTGTGGAAACTCCGGCCTGGGCATGACTCAGTGTTAGCACTCTGTACGGCTAGTGGTGTGGGCTCCGATGCTGCTGACATTTACTGGGTCTAGTGCTCAGTCAACAGTGCCAGGGTGATAAGCCAGGACCAGACAGCACAGGAAATGAAGTATTGTTGGTCTTTTCAATGTCAATGGCATTTGCTGACTTATCAACTCAAAATTAAGTCTTTCCTATTAATATGGAAGAAACAGACTTAGAAAACAATTCAGTTCAATTGACTGAACAGTAATGTCAAAATAAAATAAATACATGTCCTTAAGAGACAGATTTGTCACCGGCCATGAATCTCCAAGAACCACAACACAGTCGATGCACAAGTGCAACACAGGACAAAACTATACATCACTCAACAGTTTGTAATTCGTCATGAACCCAACTTACTTTCCGTCTTCCTGCTGTTTATCAGTTTATTTTCCAATTCTTCCAGCATGCTATGCTCAGTTCTGAAGTCGCCTCTTTGGTTGTAGAAATGGTTGTGTTTATCTTTTTCAATGACAATAACTCTTTAGGAAAAGAAACAAATGGTATAAATACAATTTAAATATATTTTAGTTGTTTAATATATGAAGACGTTCAAAACAATTAGTACCTTACATTCAATTCATTTAAAAAAGAAAAGTGTGATTACTTAGAGTAATAAGGTTAAGGGGTCAAAATATTAGCTAATATTAGCTAAAATTGGACTCACTAGTTAAGTTCAATTTTAACCAACTGTAATTTGAACTGTTACATATTTCCTTTGAAAATACAGAAGCCTCTGGCTATGAGGTTCTACTTGTGAGTTACCGCCCTCAATTAAAACAAAACAAAATAAAATATACTATCGAGGAGGCTTTATTTTTTTAAGTTGGCAAAGAAATCAATTTTCTCAATGTTTGTTTCCTTCTCCCACAAGCTAAATATGAATATTTACCCTCTACTCTTGAATCGAGTATGTAGCAGGATGTCTCTAGCCAGCGGCATCGCTGCACACAACCTGAGAGGCATGCTCTCCGTAGTTTCCCAGTTTTCCATCTTGCAGCACAGAGAAAAGGTTTATATTGACAACCACACTGGGAGAAATGGATGAAACTGCAGCAGGCTTTGCGGGCTGGGGACTGTCTCTGTGCACGTGTTCCCGGGGCCTTTGTTGTTTGTGAGAAGAGGTAAGGTAACAGAGAAGCTGAAAGGATTTCATCCAAATAGCAACTCTAACAGAGAGAGAATTGCTCCCAAAGCCCTGTCAAGGCTGGGACCTAAAGAGGTCTGATTGGGCATCAGAGACACTACTGTAACCAAACAGAAATGTCTGCTGTGGATACAGGATATGCAATGATAGTTACATTTTGCTATTCATGGACTAGAAACATTACAGAAAGATTTTCAAAATGTACTATTAATATTTTGATGCTGCAGACAACAATGAACATTCAGTAAATACCGCTGTGGACTGTATGATAAACAATTTGAAATAAGTGTAAGTAAATCTTACAATGTACAGAACAGACCTGAGAGGAACAGAAACCAGGGGATAATTAATTAAAAGATCATTAAAAAATAGCTCAAGGGCACAGTATCCTCACCAAACCACTCACTGCCTTCTTCAGTGGGATCAAATCCACATGTTCCAGTGGTTTTCACTCCAGAGCAGCACTGCTCCAGAGAAACACAGCTTTTAAGTAGCTGAGGATGGCAGGTAAGAGCCCTACATCCTATGCCCAGCAGCTTCAGTGCAAGCTGTGGATCTGGTGTGGGAACCTGATCTGACTCCAGGTTAGACCCATAGGCTCTCACTCAAGAAGCTCCACATCTCCTGGCAGAAGCTGTGGACCCAGGGTCAGGACCAGACTTGACTCGGGGTGAGGCCCCCAGGCATGTGGAGAGTTCCACAACCCACAGCAAAAGCTATAGATCCAGGCAAGAGGCCCACACAGACACAGAACAACACCTGACCCTCCGAAGAAGAGTTGAGATGGAGCCGCCAGCCCCGTATACCAGTCCCACAGAGGGAAACAGCACCTCTACCCTTCTATGACTCAGTTTCTCTCCACTGAACATTGCAAATGCCACCACTGAAAGGAAAAAAGGGGACTGGAATTTTAAAAAGAAAAAATTCTAGGAGAAAGAAAGGGAGAAAGACATAGAGACAGACAAAAGGAAAGACTCAACCAACAAACTAACACCAAATGCACATGAAACAGAAACAGCCTGAAAACTGAAGACATCATGCCTCCTCCACAAATCACTAGTCCCTCAATAATGGCACCTACTGCAAACATCTGGAAAGAACTTCCAGACAAAGCATTCAGAAGAATGAGTATGCTCCAACAACTCCGAGAAGACATGACTGTGCCCAAGAGGGCAAAAACAGAGAGCTGAACGTCATTCCAAGACACAAAAATGTAATTCAACAAAGAGAATTACTGAAGAAAACACAAACTGGAAAAAAATGCTTTAAATAAAAAGCTCATAACCCAAATAACAACTTCAGTGGAAAGACCGGCCAGTAGAATGGATCATGTAGAACACAGAAAATCTGGGCTAGAAGACAAGATGCAGAAATGGGATCACTCAATGAAGGTGAATGATCAATTTTTTTTAAAATAAATAAAATGGAGGGAGAGCTCTAAGACACCATGAAAAGACCTAACCTTTGTATTATGGGCATAGAAAAGGAGAAGGCCTAGAGAATATTTTCAATAAAATCACAGGAGAAAATTTCCCAAACCTGGAGAAAAAGAGGCCTACCTACATACAAGAGACTGAAAGAACTCAGACAAGACTAGAAATGAAACTCCGTGTGCATGTTATAATAAAACAAAAACCACAGAACAATGAAAAGGTATTAAAAGCTGCAACAGGAAAAGATCAAGTCACTTACAAAGGTAGACCTAGTAGAATAATACCTAATCATTTATCAGTAACTTTAAAGCCAGGGTGTTATAATTAAGAGATTGTCTTGAGTCTCAGAAGAGACTTGGAACTTTTAAACAGTGTTGATACTGTGAAAGACCATGGAGACTTTTGAAATTAGAGTAAATGTATTTTGCATTATGATATGACCACAAGCCCATGTGGCCCATGAAGTGGAAGGTAGTGATCTGAATAAGAATGGACCCCAAGTTCATATATTTGAATACTGGGTTCAGTTGGTGGAACTATTTGAGAAGGATTAGGAGGTGTGGCCTCTTTGGAAGAGGTGTGTCACTAGTGGCAGGCTTTGAGGTTTCAAAGGATTGATGGCATTCCAAGAATGCTCTCTCTCTCTCTGCTTCCTACAAGATGTGAGTCCTCAGCTACTGTTCCAGTGCCACACCTGCCTGCCTGTTGCCATGTTCCTCAAGATGATGATCAGACCATAATCCTCTGAAACCATAAGCTGCCTTGGTCATGGTGTCTTATCAAAGCAATAAAAAATAACTAAGACAGTGTGCTGACTAGTTTTATGTCAACTTGACACAAGCTAATCATCTGAGAGAAGGCAATCTCACTAGAGAAAATGCCTCCATAGGTCTGCGCTGCAGACAAGCCTACAGGACATTCTCTTAAGAGATTAATGTGAAGGGGCCCAGTCTATTATGGATGGGGCCACCTCTGAGCTGGTGGTCCTGGGTTTTATAAGAAAGCAGGCTGAGCAAGTCAGAGGGAACAAGCCGGTAAGTAGCACTCCTCTATGGCCTCTGCATCAGCTCGTGCCTTCAAGCTCTAGACCTGCTTGAGTTCCTTCTCCTGACTTCCTTCGATGATGAACAGTGATGTGGAAGTATAAGCCAAATAAACCCTTTCCTCCTCAAGTTACTTTTGGTCATGGTGTTTCATCACAGCAATAGTAACCCTAACTAGGACAGACAGCATGCTAATCACTGGGAGATAGAAAAGTATTTAGTAATCTTTCTCAGTTATGAATTCTGTGATCTACAATAAGAACTGGCCTGGCATGATACAATAGTGGGATCAATTTTATGGGAGTAACCAACTACTTTCTGATTGTATTTAAAGCCTTCTCCATAAGACAGAACTCATGCGAGGTACTCTTAACTAGTTCAAAACCCATAACTAGCTACATCAGAGGACTTATAGGAGGACCTAATGCTATAATTCTGCTAAATGAACATAGTATTAAACTGTCTCTGCCAAATTCTTATCTTCATACTCACAGGTCAGTGTATCTTTCAACCCTTACCAGAGAAGCCTTTTTTTTTCAGTAGACAGAGATTGACACAGAGACCCACAAGTGAACAGAACTCAGAGATTAAGAGACTGCAGAATGCTCAGATGTAAATGGGACATCAATTTAATAACCTTGTCCCCAAGGCTGGGGGATCACTGAGGAAGACGTAAGGGAAGGATTATAAGCACTAGAAGTAGATGTCTTCAGTGAAACATTATTTGCTGGGCATAACACAGATATTGCACACATGAACTCATGGGAGCTCTGACTGCTTACACAATATTTGTATAAGACCAAGCCAGCCAAAATCCCAGTCTGTAACGAATGATGTCCCATCTCTGGCTGGAAAGCTATTGGCAACTAATGGCTCCTGGAGCAGAGAGACGAAGTTTTCTCCCAGGATGTAGGTCCTGAAAAGTTACCCAAGCTTCAATAGATGAACCTGTACCCATGAGTATAGAGGCAGTACTACATGAACTCAGTGGGTTGAAAAAAGAGAGCAAGAATCACATGTTGTAAGGAGGGAAAATGGTGGGGAGGCAGGAATGAAAGGGAAGGGCCTGGCCCTACATCAATCATTTTCCAACTTCATAAACTATGAGAAGATACTTAGATGCTTATTCTCTATAATCCTCACTCAAAAATATTCATAAAGTGCCTACCTAAATTGTAGAATAAAGTGTATTCAATCTGTTATTTGATATACAAAATATAGACATTATTTTGTTTTCCTTAAAATATACCAATATAAAATGATAAAAGTAAAATATAAAAAAAAGTGAAACTTTTTCACGTCTAGTTAATTTATATTAAATAGACTATTTGTGCATTTCACAGCTCCCTCCTTCTTTTGTCAGGCTACTGAACAGAAGTTTCCTAGCAATGTGAGACTGGCGAAGATGCAGTTATATTGATTTTAGATTGCTCATTATAAAATAGCTACTGATGTTATTGGAAGACAAAATTCTTATACTCACTGATTCTTTAATTTTTCTGCTGTGCGTATGAATTCTGCTTTCTTCATCCGACTAACTTTCTGCTTCCAGTTTTGACGACTTCCGCCTGAAGTACTAAAGCCGCCATCATTCTGCATAAGAAACAAAAGTATCATAGGGATAAAAGTAGCAGGGGATGTCTAGAGTAATAAAGCATTAACAGTTTTCTGGAGATAAGCATGTGGCCAATCCAGATTTTTAAAAAACATATTTTGGGGGCTAGAGAGATAGCTTAGTGGTTAAGAGCACTTAATGCTCTTACAGAGGATTGGGGTTCAATTCCTAGCACCCACATGACATCTTGTAACTGTCTGTAACTCCAGTTCTGATACCCTCTTCTGGCCTCTGCAGGGACAAGACATGCACATGGTATGCACACACACTCACAGGCAAATATTCATACAGATAAAAATATACTCTATAGACAAAACAAAGTCTATCCTAAAATGCTAAATTGAGCGTGAAATGTTGTATCCAGGGATTGTTTACAAAAAAAAAAAACAAACAAAAAAGAGATGTAATTTATTCACAAGTCACTTATCATCATAAGCTGAACAGTAATCTGACAGGTACCAGCAGGGAAGCATGATTCTACACCAGCATGACCCAGTGTCTTCAAGTCTCTTGAGGGAAAACAGATTTAAAGAAAAAAGAAAAGAAAAACAATAAAAAGCAGGCAAAAACAAAACAAAACACCAGAAACTGGGATAAATAGAAAGGAAAGAGAGGCTGAGGTGGAGGCGCTTGCATTTTCTGTTAGAACACCCCCAAGGGTCTATTTGAAAGGCTTACATCAAAGGAGAAAGGGAGACAAGCATTGTACAATCAGAAGGGAACGTGCTTAAGTCAAGGGACAAGCTATACAAATTCTGAGGCCAGAAAGACTGGCTGGCAGAGAAAAGACAATTTTGGCAAAAGATTAGCAAAGGTGGTTAGAGATGAGAGTAGATAGGTAGGCATGTGCCAGACACACAGATGTTTTAGGTCACAGTGGATTTTACTGAAGAGTGTATCTGTGCTGTTCAGTGTAAGAGAGATGGTAACAGCAGGGCTTCAGTCCGTCAGGAAAGGAAACTGACACACAAATAGAAATTAAACAGGATGGGGTCTCGAAGGGTGAGTAAGAATGAGAGAGGACCGCCTTGAGAACTTGGGGAGGGGGAGAGGTGCCCCTTGGGAGAACAGCCTTCAAAGCAGTGGTCCCAGGATTCCTCCTGAGGTGTTTCAAACCTATCTCCAAAAGAAAGGAGAAATGCAGCTTTTTACAACCTTATTAGTATACAAATTTGCTTTCATCATTAATAAATGGTAAAATTATGTGTATATCAAATAACTTTAAAATAAATTTCTTTACGATTTACTATCAGTAAGTGATTTGGAGGCCTGTTTTATATACCTACACACCCCACGTCACATAAAATTTCTCATGAAGGGACTAGAGAGATGCCTTAGCAGTTGAGAGTGCACACTGCTCCGGCAGAAGACCTAAATTCAATTCCCAGCACCCACTAAGGGAGGCATACAGCCATCTGTAACTCCAGCTCCAGGGGACCCTAGGCCTCTGGCCTCTGTGGACACCTGCACTCATGTGCATGTACCTACACCCATACCCCACCCCACATGCACATACTTTAAAATAAATCTTGACAAAAACTTCTCAGGCAGTGGGGTTGATGCGGAGAAAATGCTTAGGATGTTCTGCCATACTTAGTTCTTTAAGAGACTGTGCCTGGCTGTTGTTTGGACATAATAAATTGGTAGGAAGTGTGGTGATGGGGCAAAGCACAACAAGAAGCAGGGAGAGCCATAAAGAAGCTAACAGAGTAGTACAGGCCAGGTGTGAGAGTGTGACAACTACGTGGGCCAGGAAGAGGAAACAGGAAAAGGAACAAGAAAATGAAGAAAGTGTATCTCGAAGGTAGTTATGACCAGGAGGAGCTGCTGAGAAATGGGGTGTGGGAGAAGAGGAGAAAGCAAACAAGGCTTCACAATTCTAGGCCCAGGAACAGAGGTTTAAAATGAGAGCTCATATACCATAAAACATTACTGATTAAGAGTGCTGGCAATCCAGTGATCTTTCTAGATATTCATGAAGTTATACAACACCATCACTGTCTTGCTCTAGAATATTTTCAGCACACCAAAATAAACTCACAGCATTAGCAGTCTCTCCCTCATGAGGCCTTCTCTCAGCTCCTGGTTTTCTAACTCTATGAATTTGACTATTTTTGATCAATGGGTTTATACAACATAGTCTTTTCTGAATGGCTTATTTCACTTAGCACGTTTTAAGACTTTCTCATATTAGTCTATGGATCTATATCTCATTCCTTTTGTGTGGGTATGCATGCAGTGTATACATGTTCACATGTCTGAATGCAATCATACATGTGGAGACCAGAGGTAAGTACCTGGTGTCTTTTACTGGTTTCCACCTTAAGTTCTGAGTCAAGGTCACTCATTGACTTTAGCTCACTGGCTGGCTGGATGGCTGGCCCCTGGGATCCTCCTGTCTCTGCCTGTCTCTGCCCTACCAGCCCTACAGTTAGACATCCACTGGTATGCCTGGCTTTCACATGGGTGCTGGGGAATCCAAATTCAGGTTGTCATACTTATGCTACAAGCACTTTCCCACTGAGCCATCTTCCTAGCCCACCCTATACCTTTAATTAACTTTGTATTATATGGACTTACCTTTCCTTTGCCTACTCATCACTCATCAACTGATGAACAACTGGGTTATTACTACTATTTGGCCAATAGAAATAATGCTACTATAAATATTTCATACAAGTTTTAATGTAAAAATGTTTTAAATTTTGTTATACATTTAGCTATAGAATTTGGGACCATAGGGTAATTTTTTTTTACTTTCTTATTATCAAACTTAAATAGCCTCTTTATTGTAGATTTGGAATCATTCTTAAAGCACTCTGAATATAATCCCTTATTTTATATTCATATATGACTGACAGTTTCCCCCACTCTGAGTCCTCTATTCCCTTTCTTGATAGTGCCAATGATTCAAAACAGAGGTATTAATAAACTATTTTATTAATATGTGCTGGTTCTAATTCCTCTGTATCCTCACCAACACTTATTATTGCTCGTCCTTTTCATTACAGCCATCTTAGTGGGTATAAACTAGTACCTCACAGTGTTTTTTACTTGGGTCCTGGGGATCAAACTCAGGACATTGGGTGTGTGAGGCAAACACTCTATCACAGAGTCTGTAGTCAGAAGTTTTCCTGTGTTCTGCCCAGTCCATAACTGCTCAGACCCAAGAAAACACACAGAGGCTTATATTAATTAAAACTGCTTGGCCATTAGCTCAAGCTTATTACTGACTAGCCCTTATACTTAAATTAACCCATAATTATCTATGTTCAGCCACGTGGCTTGGTACTTTTTCTCAGTTCTGCCTTGTCATCTTGTTTCCTCTGTGTCTGGCTGGCGACTCCTGATTCTGCTCTCCTCTTCCCAGCATTCACCTCTTCTGCTGGCCCCACCTATACTTCCTGCCAGACTACTGGCCAATTAGCATTTTATTAAACCAGTGTACAAGGGCACAGCAAGAATTACACATCACAGTTCCTTTCAGAATGGTTTTGATTATTCTGTGATGGCCAATGATGTTGGACATCTTTTCATCACTTTTTTTTTTTTTTTTTTGGTTTTTTTCGAGACAGGGTTTCTCTGTGTAGCTTTGCGCCTTTCCTGGAGCTCACTTGGTAGCCCAGGCTGGCCTCGAACTCACAGAGATCCGCCTGGCTCTGCCTCCCGAGTGCTGGGATTAAAGGTGTGCGCCACCACCGCCCGGCTTTTCATCACCTTTTAAAGGCAGTCTAGCCACTACTATTCTTCTTACTTTAGTTTTTGGCAGAAAATGCATGGTTTTCTAATTAAGTTGTAAACAACAGCATTATTAAGAGGCCATACAAGAAAAACCTTATGTTTAACCTGATGTTAAACAATGTGTTTTCCTGTTGTTCTATTTTTACTTAATAGGATAGGATACAGCCCCCAATTCATGAATTGTAAATAAAAGCCAATTCAACATCTAAGCTAAAGTTGTTGCAGTTTTGCTCTTGATCAATACATAATTCCAATATTTTTCTCCCATTCTGACTAGTCATTCTTTTCACACACAAAACACACACACACACACACACTTCTGATACTAGGAATTGAAGCCATGTCCTTGCACATGCTAAGCACATTCTTAACCACTGAGTTAGCCCTCAGCCCCTTCACTTTCTTGACAATGTCCACTGAAGAACAACCGCTAACCCTGACAGAGTCTACCTGATCTTCCTTGAGCTTTGGTTGCTCAGGCTTTGTGTGTCACACAGAAGGAACATTCGTCCAACTGAATGCCATAAAGACTTGTGCCTGGTCTAACTTCTAACACCAAGGTCTCTGATCTAGTCTTCGATAATTCATGCACACAGCACGGGTAGAAACTGAACTGCCGTGTGATTCTCCAACTGGCCCAATATCAACTATTAAAAGAGCTCTTTTCTTACTGTCTTTAGTGCATTTGCTGAAAGTCACAAGTAGATCTGGTTTTCAACTCTAGCTTTAAGCCAGTACCACATTTGGTTATGGCTATACTTATAGTAGTTTTGTAGCAATTTGAAATTAACAATTATGAGCAACTCAATAGCATTCCTTAAAAAATATTGTTTTAGGTCTCCTACATTTCTCCACATGAATTTTCAATGTTGTTGGCTTTTAATTAACTGGTTTTGTTTGTTTGTTTGGTGTTTGTTTGGTGTGTGTGTGTGTGTGTGTGTGTGTGTGTGTGTGTGGTGTGATGTGTGCCCCATCATGTGTACAGAGGCCAGAGAAGATCAGATGCCCTGCTCTATCATTCACCACCTTATTTCTTTGAGAGAGGATCTCCCACTGAGTGTGGATCTAGACTAGTGGTTAGAAATCCCCAGCAATGCTGTCTCTGCCCTTTATAGTGCTGGGGTTGTAAGTGCATATAGCTACACCCAGCTTTTTATATGAGTGCTGGGGATTTGAACTCAGATCCTCATGCTTGGGCAGCAAAATTCTTACCTACTGAGCCATCTCCCCTGCCTCT